CAAAATGGCATTGTCAGTATTAAAAGAGTATTGGAAAGACTGGTCATTTTGGCAATTGCCAAAGACTACCCAGCAAGGAATGTATCAGTCAGATTTAGTAACAGGGTGGCCCCTGCTTGCCTGAAAAATGTAAGAGTGAATTGTTGGGAGGTGGAATAAAGAGAAACAACTGACAGAACATCGTGAATCGTGGTCCACATAGTGCTTAATAGGCATTTCTTTTCTTTCTTTTTTTTTTTTTTTTTTGCGGAACCGGGGATTGAACTCGGGCCCTTGAGCTTGCCAGGCAAGCGCTTATTCTACTGAGCCATCTGCCCGGCCCCTTACTAGGCATTTCTGGCTGTACAACAGCATTTCACCAAGAAATTACTGTCTGCCAGTGCCCACTTTCAAAGGTCCATGCCTGGTGTGGGCTAGGAGGAGGAAATAAGTGAGCTTTATCTGTAGTACCTATGTCTCCAAGGCCTGGCATGGGCCTTCAAGCCACAGTTACTGCCCGGGGCCTCCACTTAGTACCGCCTCTTCTGGGGCTTATAGCAGCTCTTGGCAGAGAGTGGTGGTTGCCAGTGAATTAAAAAGTGGAGAGGAGAAAATATTTCTAAACTGGGTTCCTAGGTTATAAATAGGATCGGAAGATTTATCTTTCAAAGGCTTAATTCTACTGGCTTTTTATTCAGTATTCCATGGGGTCTCAACCCGTTTAGGTTGTGGAGAAGTGGCCTAAGAACAGAGGTCTTCCTGGGACTGGCTGCTGGGGGAAAGAGGTTGAGACCCAGCCCAGGAGGCGGTAAGGCCACAGGCGTCAGAGCGCCCTACGTGACAGGAAAATCAAGAGGCTAGTGAGCGGTGACAGAATCGCAGTGCCTCCAGAGGAGGTAGGAAGAGTGGAATTTCTTTCCATATTTCTCTGAGCCTCCAAGTAGGGACTTTTACGGAGACTTTAAGAAAAAAAGTATAGGGAGAGTCCACGCTTGCCTTCTCAGCTACAGTTCCTCTTCGCCACTTCCCATCCTCCGCCCTGGCCAGCTTCTGCTGAGAAGGACCCAGCCACGTGGATCCTGCCCTGCAGGCGGGCGAGGCGGTCCCCGCCCGGAGCAGGGTCCAGCCCGCGGCCAGCTCAGGCTGTAGTTCCTCTCCGGGCGGGCGCGCCGGGTGAGCGCCGCGAGCTGGGCTCGGCCTGGAGACAACCCGCCGCCGTGCTCGCGCCTCGCACGCCGCCCGACCAGCCCTCCTGGAGGGCGAGCCACGGCCGGGAGGAGAGGACGGCGGCCGGGCGGCTGGCGGCACCAGACCTCTCCAGGCAAGTGGGGCGCCGAAGGCAGAGGCGTGGGGCGCTGGGTGCTTGGGACCAGAGCCTGGGGACCCACCGACTGCGGCTGGGGCAGGCCGGTGCCGCCTCCTCTGGCTTGCCTTAACCCCAAGGGAAAGGCAGCTCCTCTTTTCTAGTGTTTGACTACAAACCCGGGTTTTAAAAGAAACTTCACAGCCGTAAGCAAAAGCCAAGTCTTAACTTAAAGGCTCTGTGCGAGCCCACACCCAGGCATGCAGACCCAGGGCGGAAGGTTTCCCTCTCTTTGGATTTTGTTGGGCTTCCTGTCTAAAGCTAATTTGGGTAAAAATATTTAGGGCTGATAACTGAGCTACTTTTAACCTTTTTTAAGAACATACCCAGTTTTAAAGAGAAGTTTTTTTAAAAATTGAAAAATATCTTTAAATTTTAACACTTTAATGTGTTGGATATAGAGTTAAGTAGCTCCATTTTATGTCTGATTTAAATCAGGGGAGCACGTATAATAACTTATATTTAAAGCAAAGTAAAATGTTACTGATACGTTTAGTCATTTGTTCCTCACACGTTTTTTATTCACTCATTTAACAGATACCCATTGTAAGATCTTGGTTTTAAATTTCCATTTCTTTAGCCCCTTTATAGGAAAACGCTTTGAAAGACTTGCTCCATGCCTCTCCTTTCCTTGTGCTGTTTTGATCTGCCCTCGCGCGCGGCGCGCGGACTTTTGCGTTCCTTTTGCCTTTCTTATTCTGGGTGGCCTTAATGGCCCTCTTGTGAATCCTTTGTTTAGAGCACAGTACTCATCCACTGGCACCATCAGTAGCATCTGACACAGTCCATTACTTCCTCCTCCTCCTCAGTATTCTTTCTTCACTAATACTCTCCCCTCCCCCCCAGGGGGCTTCCCAGTCCCCAAATTCTGCATTTCCTTGTCCCTCATTGGTCACTCTGGCTTCTCAACCAATAAATGTCATTGTGCTTCAGGGGTCAGTTCTTGGCCATAGTGTCACCTCTAGGCATGCTTGCTTCCAAGGTGATTTCCATCCCTACTCTATTCTGTGGTTATAATTAATATCTATAAGTTGGCAACTTCCAAATTTTTACCTCGAGCTTCACTTCTGAGTTCCCAGAGCATACCTCCAGCTTGTCACTCACTGTGCCCTTGGAAATCTGATGGGCATCTAAATTTAGTGTGCACAAACAGAATTATTGATACTACACCCACCTCAACTTTTTCACTTCCCTCTGACTTTTCTTCCTTATTTCAGTAAGGGTTGCTACCATTCAAACTCGAGGTAACATCTTTGACTTTTTTTTTTTTTTTTTTTTTAGCTCAGAGCCCACAGTTAACCAGCAGAGCCAAGGGCTGCTCTGAACTGTACCTTGAAAACTCATCTCCAGTCTGACCATACCTTTTTTTTTCTCTTAGTGAAAAGTGGGAGATTAGAAAGTCCTTGCCTCTGCGTTTGCTCTTCTGTAGTCTTTCTCCAAAAAGCAGTGATTTGTTTTTCAGATATATCAGAGCTTTCACTTCCTGTTCAGAACCTTCCAGTGGCTTCTCATCATAAAGACCAAGTTTTAAAATGGTTTTCAAGCCCTGTATGATCTAGTCTCTGACAAGTCCTCTGAGCTCATCTCCTAACTTCCCTCGGGCACACTCCATGGTGGTGACACTGATCTTGCAGCTGTCCCTTTATCTACAGAGGGTCTCTGCTGGACTGTGGAAGACTGCATGTCCTTTCCTTCCCCATGTCGTTGTTCATATGCTGTTTTAGGAGGTGCTGTGCTGTTGTGTGTCACAAGATCCTTTTCCTATGGGACTGTGGGTGGACTGCTGTTAACCTCCAAAGAACTACAAGAGTACAGCGGTCTTCTACCTGTAGGGAGAATGTTCCAACACCCTCAGTAGATCCCTAAACCTGGAAATATTACCAAACTCAGTACATCTTGAGGTTTTTCCTACACATTCATACCTAAATTATAAATTAGGCACAGTAAGAGATTAATGATAATCAGTAAAGAATATGACATTGACAACAATATACAATAATAAAAATGCCAGCCTTACTGCTTGTATCCTTTCAGCCCAGTCTTATGTAAAACAAGGGTAACTTGAACACAAGTACTGTAATACTATGACAGTTGAATTTCATTAAATATGAGTATCAGTTTTGGAAGTATGGCTATTCTGACAATATTCTACCTGTTCAGGATTAGTGGATATCTTTCCATTTTCTGGTGTTCTCTTTAATCTCCTTTTCAAGGGTGCTGTAGTTTTTGTTGTAGAGGTCTTTCATTTCTTTGATTAGATTAATTCCTAAATACTTAATTTTTCTTAATGCTATTGTGAATGGTATTATTTTCCTAATGTTTTTCTTGGTGAGTTCATTATCAACCTATAGGAACACTATTAATTTTTTTATGTTCATTTTGCATCTGGTAGATTACTGAACTTGGTTATTAATTCTAGGAGTCTTGTGTATTTGGGGGGGTCTTATGTAGAGAATCATGTCATCTGCAAATGATGATAATCTTATTTCTGCCTTTTCTATATATATTCCTTCATTTATTTCCTTTCCCTGATTGCCCTGTTAAAGTTTCAAATACTATACTAAATAAGAATGGTGGTAACAGACATCTTTGTCTCATCCCTTATTTCAACTTTTGAGTTTCTAATCATATTAATTTCTCTCTTATTTATTTAAGACTGATGAAGGATTTATCAATTTTGAGAGCCAGCCCTTTGATTCATTGTATTTTTTTACTCTTGATTTCATTAATTTCTGCTCTGACCTTTATAATTCATTCCCTGCATTAGTTGTTTTTTTTTTCCCCCAGAACCGGGAATTGAACTCAGGCCCTTGTGCTTTCAAGGAAGCACTTATTCCACTGAGCCATCTCTCCGGCCCCCTCCCTGCATTAGTTTTTAATTTGGATTGTTCTTATTTTTCTAGGACCTTGAGGTATATCATTAAGTTATTTATTTATTGCCCTATAGTTCTTGTAATTATGTAGAATATTAGAAAAAATATTAGAGAAGCTCTATTTGGTTTAGAGTTAGCAAACTTATGCTCTTGGAACCTGGGTGTATATAAAAAAACAGGTGAAGTACAGTTAAACTTGCTGGTCATGGAAGTGGATTTATATAATCCCAGTACTATATATTCTATATATATAGTACTGGGATTCTATATAATCCCAGTACTATATATTCTATATAGTCCTATAGAATATATAGAGAAATATTCTCTCTCTCTATATATAGGAAATTCCTTTTTGCTCCCATCAAGTTACTACCTGCACAAACAGTCTGTGGTCACCTTAATCTGATTTCAGAGATTGAGATTATTAAAATTATGTTTTCAGCCAGGTGTGGTGTGCATACCTGTAATCCTGGAACTCTTGGAAGCTGAGGCTGAAAGATTACAAGTTTGAGCCCAGTCTGAACAATTTAGTAATTTAACAAAAACCTGTCTCAAAATAAAATGTAATAAATTTTATATGGCTCAATGAGAAGGACCTAGATTCAGTTCCCAGTACTGGGAGGACCCATCTATTTCTAGGTCAACCTGTTAAGTTTATAACCTTCAGGGTCGCAACCCACAGCACATAGCTACCTGTGCACCCTTGGAAACTGAGCTGGACAATTGCAGGTTGAGCCCAGCCTGGGCAATTGAGTGACCTTCCTAGCTTTCATCACTGACCTTTGGGCCCTTCCAGCAAGATCCATAAAGCAGACCTGCATGAGACTTTGTTGTGGGCTCTAGGCCTCCAGTTGGACTTGTGGGAGGCACTGTTATGAGCTCTAGGTTTTTGGCTGGACTTATGCAGGATATCAGGATCTTGGCCCTCAGCTACAGTGCTTGTATGTGTGGACAGATTTCTTGCACTTCTTGTATATTATTCTTGGGTTGTTCATTATAAAATACTATTATAAAATGTGTCCTATATTATACTGTTCCCCTTTCAAGAACCCCAAATCATGACAGTGACTTAACAAGAATTTGCCTTGAAATAAAATTGAACAAATTTTTTAAAAAATTATTTGTTTATTTTTTGTATTTTGGGGGAAAGGTCTACAAGGTGTTCAGGGTCTCACTACTAGATCAGACTTGTAGTGATATGCTTGTTTACAGCCTCATAAGTGCTGAGATTACAGGTGCATGCCAGCACACCCAGTCTCAGTTGCTGCTGGTCTTAATTGCCATCTCAGGGCACCCCTTGGGCAAGGCCAGCATGGCAGGCCTGGATATCAAACCCTGGCCCCTGCACCTGCTTGCAGGCACTTTAATCTGCTGAGCTATCTGGCCAGCCCTAAAACAGCAAATAGAATGTAGTTCAATGAGAAAGGCCTGGGTTCAGTCCCTAGTACTAGAGAAAAATAATGATTTTAGAAAGAGGAGTTGGAAGAGGAGGGAAAGAGAATGGGAAGGGAGAAAAAAGGGACAAATCAAGGTATTATGTACAGGCAAATTCCCTATGACGAATGTGATCATTGTATACCCAAATGGTGCCATTAAACTTAATTTTTTGCAAAAGGGCTTCCTTTTCTGGAAGGATCCATCTATTTTTGGGTCCACCTATTATCAAGTGTGTAGCTTCTGGGCCACAACCCAAAGCACGTCACTTTGATGGACACAGACTTTTACTTTGCACACATGAACCATGAGTAGCCATTTAAAGCATCACACACCTTTTCTCTTCTGGAATTCAAATATCCTACAAGAGACAGTGGTCTCAGAGTGTCCTTCCTCATTTAGGCTCCAAAGTTCTTCTCTATTTAATAGCTCTCTGATAGCTCAAGCTTGTGTTGTTTATATTTTGCCCAACTTTCTACTTGCTCTTAGTAGCATTATTGGTCCAAATCACTTAGTCATTATCACTAGAACTGAAAACTACAAATACATACATTTTGACAGTTGAGAAACATACCATGTCTCTTAGTCAAAACCAAGTAGAAAGAACAAGAGAAAGAGCATGATATAGTTAAATGGATCCTGGAAAGTAGT